ATAAATCGTGGAAGTGAAATTGAGAGTGATTTATCATTTGTTTCATCACTTGGGGTATTTATTGGGACTAATGGCATTAATATATTTGTAGCTTTATCAACCTACAGAAACAGGAAGTGCCCTCTTTTCTGCTCAAGAAGAGGTCTGGGACATCAGTCTACAGGAGATACCTTTCTTCTACCTTCAAAGAAGGGTCTGTTCTGTGTGTTCCCCCCCCCAATGCCGCTGATACTGAGGGTGATGAACAAAATCAGACAGGCCTGGCCAAAGTTCTCCTAGTAGTCGCTCAGTCTCCCGAACATTCCTCATCTTCTGTCACAGGATGTGTGTCATGTGCCTCATCCCACTCTAATGCTACTCTGCCTCAGAATGTGGCTCCTTGATTGTTCATGGGGTTAGAATCCCCCTGCTCTATGGAAGAGCAACGGGTGTTACTGAATAGTAGAAAGAGGTCAGCCGGTCTGGCTTACCTGCAGAAATGGAAGAGATTCTTCCATTCAGGTGATGTTGTTGCCACCTTCTGCCTGATTCGGTGCTACTTTCAGTTATCTTGGATAATCTGTTGGTTCTGAAGACATCAGGGTTCTCGATTAGTTCAATTAAGCTCCTCTTGGCAGTAATATCAGCCTTTCATCCTTTTGTAGAAGAATCCTCCATTTTTGCTCACCTGGTATCATTTGGGTTTATTAAGGGTTTGGAGAATCTCTACCCTCCAGGTTAGGGACCCCACCCCAATCTGGCACCTCAATTTGGTGCTCAGTTTCTTTATGTGACCTCCATTTGAACCAATGGCAGCCTGTCTTCTGCTCCATTTATGCATGGAAACATTCTTTTTAGTAGCCATCACGTTGGCTCATAGGGTTGAGGAAATGGATGCCTTGATGGCAGATCTCCCCCTTTATGTTATTCTTCAAGGACAGTGTCTTTATCTTCACACAATGAATCCCTAAGGTCCTGTTGGAGTTCCGCCTTCATTTTTTTCCACCTCCATGTATTCATTTACCAGTTGTTTTTCCAAAGCTCCATCTTTCTCTCTGCAGGAATCCTATTTTCCTGCCCTGTATGTTAGAAGAGCACTGGATTTCTACTTAGATAGAACCAAGCATTTAGAAAGTCACCTAAGCTCTTCATTTCCTTCACGGATAGATCCAAGGTGTCCTCGATCTCTGCTCAGAGACTATTGAGATGGATATCTGGATGTATTATCACTTGTTATGTGGATGCAAGCGTTCATCCTCCCCACCCCCCAAGGGTGATAGCACATTCGACCAAATCATAGGCAACATCT